TGCAACACCGACACGATCGTCCGTCATCGTAACTATCGAGGCCATGTGGCCGGCTCTGGCTGGCGTGTGGGCAGTCCTGCTGCCTCCTCCTGCTCCCCCCCCCCCCCCCCCCCCCCAGCTCGTCTATACCGATGACCGAAACCGGGTGGGCTTCCCCCCCCCCCCACCCACCAAGCCGTCCCGATACCCGATAGTGATCTAAGCTTGCTGACCTCCTCGCCTGTCTACTCTGCCCAGCTCGTCTACGTCACTGACCGGGAAAGGGCGGGCTTCCCCTCCAAGCCCTCCCCTACCCGCCAGACCGTCCCGATAGTGATCGAAGCTTGCTAACCTCATCGCCTGTCCATCCTGACCAGCTCGTGCGCGTCACTGACCGAAGCAGGGCGAGCCCTTGAGCAGCTGGATCTCGTCGGGTGTGAAGTAGAGCACGGTGTCGTACGTGTCCGGCAGCGAGGCCACATACGGCGCCCAGCGGCTGTCCTCGGTCAGCGACTGCTCCAGCAGGTGCAGAGTCAGGCCCAGCTGGGGCAGCGCCTGCGTCAGCTTGTCCGTGGCCAGCAGGCCTCCTACGCGCATCGGGAACACCGTGTCACACGACCAAGGCCGGGGTGACAAACAGCCAGGGTAGCCCAGCCACGGTGAAGGTACAGACAGGAGAACAACAGGCAGCCAGGGCAGCCCAGCCTCGGTGAAGGTACAGACGGGAGAACGACAGGCAGCCAGGGCAGCTCAGCCGTGGTGAGGGTACAGACGGGAGAACGACAGCCAGCCAGGGCAGCCCAGCCACGGTGAAGGTACAGACGGGAGAACGACAGGCAGCCAGGGCAGCCCAGCCACGGTGAAGGTACAGACGGGAGAACGACACGCAGCCAGGGCAGCACACCCACGGTGAAGGTACAGACGGGCGAACGACTGGCAGCCAGGGCGGCCCAGCCACGGTGAAGGTACAGAAGGGAGAACGACAGCCAGCCAGGGCAGCCCAGCCACGGTGAAGGTGCATACGGAAGAACGACAGGCAGCCAGGGCCGCCCAACCACGGTGAAGGTACGGACGGGAGAATGACAGGCAGCCAGGGCAGTCCAGCCATGGTGAAGGTACAGACGAGTGAACGACAGGCAGCCAGGGCAGTCCAGCCAAGGTGAAAGCACATACGGGAGGACGATAGGCAGCCAGGCCGCCCAGCCATGGTGGAGTTACAGACTTTCAAGTTATTTAGCGAAGCTACACGACTACTAATGATGCATTCATTGGGCATGTTTTACGGAAGAATGTGGTCTCTGGTCACCAGGTTACTGGGCTATGGCATACACAATGACTTGCATTGGATGAACCAGGTTCACGTTCTATGCCAGCGTCGCCGATAGTCTAGGTTGCGCCACAGGGGGACGAGAACCATTCTCCCAGCATTGGGTTATTTAATATAACACTAATGGCGTGACACAGAAAGGGAGATTATGGACCCAATGGCCTGGAGTTGCCTTCCCCACCCACATGACACGCGAGTTCACTTCCACCCCGCAGGGATTAGCAGCGACATGAGCCAATCCAAGCCCGCTCGGCCTCTACAGGAGAGTGCTGGTCCGCCGGCCGCCTGGCTGACTGACTGACCGAGCCGGGAGGCGCGCGCCGTCTCCAGGGTCATCATGAGCGCGCGCGGCACCTCGATGACCGGCTCGCCCTCGGCCAGCGGGCGGACGCACGTCAGGCCGCAGCCCAGGCCGGCGTACACGGCCGGCGTCAGGCCGTGTACGATGCCGCCGTTCTCCAGCAGCCAGGTGTGCAGACAGGCCAGCCGCTCCGCACGGCCGGCCGTTCCGGCCGACGGTGGCGGCGCTGGCGGCGACACAGCCGTCAGCAGGCGGCGCTGACGGCGCCGGCCAGAACGCGTGGGCGGCAGACAGCCGACTCATGTCACGTGCAGTGATGGGCGCAGTAGCAGAGACTGCACACAGCCCAACATGTGTAATGTCTGGCAGGATGTGCAAATCTTACTCCATTGATCACCAAAAAAGTCCTGGAGGGCCAAGTGTTTAGTACACATTAGCACTAGCAAGCTTAAAGATGTCATATGCCACCTGGCATCACACATGACTTCATATGTTCAGGCTGATAATGAGATTGCAATGGTGGAAGCATGAATGACTTACATTTCTGCAGTGCTATCAATTGCTGCAAAATGTCATAGATGCCCAGATAATTTTCCCATTCTTCTGATTTGTTCATTGGGCCTACTTGAGAAGATTCTGAAATACAGAAAAATCAATGTGCGCTACACAGAAATTTGTTCATTGCGATGTTCGCAACAAACACAAAGCAATGACAAAGTACATACAAGGTAAGCATATACTTAATTTTATCCATCAAAATGCATACATTTGTATGTATACATGACACACCCACATGAAAATGCATGCCTGCATGCATGCACACCCACGCATGCATACACGTGCCAGTCTCAATATCAAGGTATCATGGTTGAGATCCCAAACCAGCCCGGCAATAATATCATCTCACTTGACAGAAGTTCCTTCACTAAATCTCCAATCTTGAGCTGATCTTGAAAGGACTTCTTCGGTTTCTCAGTTTTGGCATTGGATCTGTTCTTCTTCCCCATCTTTGTCTGCTGACAGTGTGACATTGATCAGAATACAATACAACATGCACAAGATGAAGTGTGACCACAAAAGCAAAATAAGCTCAAATAAAACAGCACCAGAGTGCCCAAATTTTGGGTGTACCTGTCCTGAAATTTGTATGGTAATCCACTGTGCTGTTACTTCAGACACATTCAGTGAACCACGTTTTACAGTTCAAGCATGCAACAAAACAACAACTCTAGAAATGCCAAGAAAGGACAGTATAGGGCCTTAAGTGCTTTCATGTTAGTCTAAAAAAAATCCATCCACTGTGCTAGGTGCCTACACAACACTGGTGTACTAAACCTCTCATTTCTAAGCCCCAAACTCAGAACAAACCAAATTGAGCTCCATTTTGACATAATTTTTGACAAACAATCTGAAATGTTTGCCAGAAATACCTTTTGCAATCACATACTTCCTGGAAACTTGGCATTCTATGCACTGCCATTGGTTCAGACTGTGAACCCAACTATGAGTGCTTATATTTACCAGTTATGTGCTGACATTGATGCCACAGTCGCTGCTTCTCCTAATATGCTCAGCAGAGCTCACATTTCTTGCAGTCTGGCTGGCCCCATATACATATCTTCACAAGATGTGAGGTTTTGTAAGCTAAGTTTCCGAACTGAGGACCAATGCTATTCACGTTTGCTTGGCGCATGCCTGGTAGGTGGCCATAATCCTAAACGCGAAGCGCCTATCCTTTACGCATACATAACCTAAAACTTTTAGAACTGTGGACGGCACATTTCACAACCTTCCACGTCCTAACGCCTGTAATATGTCTGATGGTTTCTTAGGCAGGCAAGGCCTGAGAGTGCCCTCGCACGAACCTTGTCTGGAAGCCTCGAACAATACTGTTCTCCGCGGCAGACAAGCGCCGGCCCCCGCTCCGCACACACCGTACAATCCAACACCACCCTTCCTCGCCTCGGGCTCCACGGCACACACGCGTATACCCAAATAAGGTTCATGCTCAAGGGGAGGACTTATCATGACGCTTTTGTTTCGAAAAGGGTAAAGCTACCATATCCAAAAAGAAATGCATTTTCACAACCAAAATAATAACGCAGGCCAGAAACGCATGCGGCACTGTGGCGGATCCAGAGGGGGTTTTGGGCTATGGACCCCTCGGTCCGGTTTCCCTCGGCCCCTCATGGCCCCTTCGTCGGACCGGAGGGGTCCTTCGGGCTGCCCGTGACCAACGACTAAGAGCTTGAAAGGCCGGGCTGAAGTTGCATTCAAGAGACCGGTCCGCAAGGCCGGGCACTCCAATGCCAGCCAGCAGAGCGCATTCAGAGCCTTGAGAAGGGGGCACAGAGTTGAGCAAGGACTCCAGGTGGTGAAAGGCTGATCAAATTGTCGGATATAGCCCACTTGTTAACAACAGGCACTCTTTCGCCAATTTTTATTTTCTATAGCTTGGACAGAAACCAGAAGCTGCTGCGAGATCAATTCTGGTTTAGTTTTGACGTCAATGAACCGATGAAACCAGGCGCCAAACGACTGCGTGGAGTAGATGGCCAACACTTTCCAAATTCAGTGGTTTATTGGACTTCTTCTGACCTGATAAAACTCAGAAGCGGTGCCAGAACTTTTTGTTTGGGTTCTGCATGTATATTGAGTATCCCTTGAATTTAGACCGCAAATCGCAAGGGGTTAAACGCTTGTTTTAACAAGTGCAACTCGTGTTTGCCTGGAAAATTTCAGTATTCTGTCAGAAGCACTGCACTGCAGCTGGTGAAAATCTTTGTATAATCTCTTCGGTGTAAATTTATTAGCCAAGTGTGTATTTTCTGTTTTTTTCATTGATTTGATGAAATGGCGCAAGTGATATCTGAATTCTTTTGTTGTAGGGCTGGTGCTCCCTTAATTGAAATCGGCAGTCGCTGGAGGGGGTACCCGCCCCACCGCTCCACCTCGGTGCAAATTCCTGGATTTACCGGAGGGCGGTGGTTGTGAGGCACATAGCAATGGTAATCTTTGGAGTGCAGTTTCAGTACATCTAGTGCTTCCGAAGTGACAAATGATTAGCTGTGTCCGAGCGCTTCTTTAGCGTCGAGCGCGGCGGATCGTTCCAAAATGGCCTACTTCTTGGATCCTATATTACCGCCTCGGTTCTTGAATTCCCTCAAAATCACACATTTCTGTCATAATTACCCATCTCTTAAAATATGCTTTGACCTTACGACTCCATCCATCAAACGTGTCGTAATGCATGCAATCACTCATGTGCTTTACTGCGTGTGCGGCCGTCATGACGTAAACGGCGTACTCTCAGTGACGTCATATATGGATATTCGCCGTGAGTGCGCTTTCAGCACGGTACCACCTGGCATTGGCATTGCCAAAGTCAATTTTTGTGACTGCGTTGACGGCATTGGCACATTGGCGTGCATCGCCAGTGCAGTGCATTGTATGTAATGTGTGGGGGGTATGACGATAGATGTATTATTGGAGAACCGTGACATCGGAATTTTGGGGATTCGGATGTGTGGAATGAAGGGAAAAATAGCGTGAAGATTATGTGGCACGCCTTAAGCTACTGTGGATTGATTAGATTATCCCATCTTGTCGGCTCAATGAGATTGAGGAAAAGGGTTTGGCATGGATGGCACTTGGTCGTATTCGACTAAGCGCACAATGTGCCTACCTGTCGTAGGCTAGATGTTGAATGGCTCAAGCAGGCCATGCTGCCCACTCTGCAAAAAAGTGCTATTGCAGAGTTAACTGAAAATCCAAAATTTTTCAATTCTTACATATGTTTAGGACAAGATGATAAGCTGGGAGCATACATTGTGTATATTACATACTTAACAGTGTGTCTGCATACTGCTTGCATTTAAGTAACAAAAATTCACAGCAGGTGCTGCTTTAGCAGCAGATTGCAGACCATGATCTGCTGCAAGTGGTCAGGTGGCATATAGCCAGAGATTGTGATGCTTGTATGATGTAGCCATTTTATAGTTTAATATGTCACTAGTATTATCATGTGATGCAAGCACTTAAAAGTGATACAATGACATATACTCAGAGATTGTCATGTTTGTTTGGGGCAGCCATGTTATAGCATCATATAACATCACCAATATTATCATGTGTTGCAACCACTGTAAGGTAGTAAGGTGGCGTGTAGTCAGAGATCGTCTTGTTTGTATAGTGCAGCCATGTCATAGTGTCATATGACATCATTAATGCTTTCTTCTGTCCTGCCATACTCAAAGGCATTGGCAAAGTTCACTGCTAGGCTAGATTTAAATCATATGGATGTTGGCTTGAAGTACATGGAGCAAGCAAAGATTTTATTGGGTAGCCAGGACAGACCATTCAAGGATTATAAATGTGAAGCTTTTGCCACACAAAAGTTCTTCTGTGACCCAAATTTTTATGATTGGATGACATGAGCAGGAGTCATACAATTGGCATTTCTTGGAATAGGCATATATCTGGAGCATTCAATCAAAAGTTTAAGACCAAAACTAGGGAATGTTTCTGTGAAGTTCAAGTTGAACTTCTGAAGCATAGAGCACCAGTACCTGGTTATTAGAGTTTTTATAATAGAAAATTATTGTGTATTTTCAATTTATTATGTATCTCATGTTTTGCACATTTTGAATTGATGTTTTCATTGTACTATGTGTTGTCTAGCCATGTAGACCTGTTTGACTGTTATGAAATTATTGCCTGTGATGTTCTTTTGAAGGCTCTACCATGGATTACCTGGGTGCAGAAATAAGCAAGAAGATCAAGAGTGCTATCAGAGCAAAACTGGTAGAGCTTGGTGTCTATGTTGGTGAGTGCACAACAGAACTTGACCTCCTCAGTTTGCACAATTTAGAAATGTGCTGCTTAGCTGCTGTCATCATCCACATGTTAGAAATGGTTTTCCCTGACATTTTAAAGCCCATGTCTTACACAATAGAGGTCTAGCTGAGCATATTGCTTAAACACACCATTGGTGACCCCATCCACCAAACCATAGACCAGTGTATTTGCTCTAACCTCCATCACATGTCCTCTATCTCCTTTGCATCCAGAGTGATGTGTTGGATTGCCCATGGATGTTTATGCAATTGACCCTCCTGCAGCAACATGGCCTCATCCATGCTTTGCAGTGTGTACCCTGGTGTCAGCTTTGAGTACAAACCACCCATGGTGCTTGCACTGATAATGGTGGTTGCTCTGATCATATTTGTATTGTGATGGGGACAAGACTCAACTCAACACAACATTTGGTAACTGAAGCCAAAATTTTATGCATATTTTGAAGCTGCATTCATATTCTGTTGCAACTCTCAATAAACTGTATGCTATGAAAACCTTGAATGCCCATTTTAATCATGCAAGTGAGAGATGACTGCAGGCTAGACAGTTGGCAATATGCCTCATAAGCATCACAGCTTATTGCATGGAGGTTCATAGAAACATTTTCTGTGTTGTTTTGATGACATGGTTCAGTGTCAATGCTGTGAACTGGGGTCCAAACCCCAGGTTGTACTATGTGGAGGGTTGAAAGACTATGGTGAGACTGTTTCCACTCATCCACCTGGGGTGTTTTTATATGGCTGCAAGAATCCAAGCATGATAACAGTTACATGAGCACAGCTTTTTTTATTCCCCTCAGATGATGAGTTACCAGACTACATCATGGTACTTGTTGCCAACAAGAAGACTAAGAAGCAGATGGAAAGCGATCTGTCCCTTTTCCTCAGCGACCATACAGTGGCTTTTGTTGAATGGCTGCAACAAGTGCTGGACAAATTGCAGACTATCACCCTGCAGGCTAAAGGTACCCAGCAGTGATCTTGCCCTCAGAAACAGATACTCTGTGGAAAGGTTGTTATTCTTGTGTTGTGTTGTATAAAATGGGTATTGAATGACATTGACACATAAAGTAGTGCTTCAACCATGTTTCAGTGTTTGATAGAAGAATGCCAATTTGATTGCTCCTGGATTCTCTCTCCCCCCCCCCCCCCCCAATCTCAGTACCACTTATCACTTTTCCAGACAAAGGTGAATCAGATGAAAAGGGCAGCAAGGGAAGTGCTAGCAAAGAAAAAGAAAAGAAACGGAAATCCTCGGAAGTGGGATCAGAAGTGGCTAAGAAAGGGAAGGTGGATGATTCCAAAGAGAAGGAACGCAAGCGGCCAGTAGGCGAGTCACACAAACCCAAGAAAGAGAAGGACAGAGCCTCGAAAAGACCAGACTCTGAGGTACCGAAAAGGGAGGAGAAGGCGAAGGCGGCGCCGCGGTCGGGGTCGGAAGCACACCGCTCTCGGGAGTCGTCTGGCGGCGCGGAAGGTCGCCCGGCGCGGCGCCGCTCGCCAGATGGCCGCCGCCACCCGCGCGTGTCTGCCCCGGCCGGCCGGCGGGCCGCGAACGCCCCCGTCCCCGCCCCACCGGACGAAGACGACGATCAGGACGTGCTCAACCTGAGCGCTGAGGAAGGTGAGGGCGCCAGTCCATGTGGTACTCATAGGAAGGTGAGGGTGCCAGTTCATGTGGCGTTCTGAGGAAGATGAGAACGCCACTTTATGTGGCGTGTTGATGAGTACTCCACTGGATGTGGTGTGTTGTTAGGGTGCCTGCCCACAAGGTGTGCGAAGAAGGTGAAGCATTCACGTGGCTGCGTGGAATAAGCGTCGATAATGTGGAACTAGAGGTCAAGATGTTCATTGATGAAATGTACCCCGATTATTGTGGTACGCCCGAGTTTGTCCCATGTTCTTATCTGTTCATGTCGTCTGTTCATCTCATCTGTTCAGCTTAGAGACCTAGTTTATGTCGGTGACTCCATTCACGGATCTGTTTGAACTCAGCACGTTGTAAGTACCTCCCTGTGGCTCTCCAGAAGTGGCTTGATGCGTGCTGCGAGCTACCCTCACACTCGGCGCCCGCGGCCGACTCTCCCCCGCGTGGCCGCGACGCCGACGGGCCCCCGAAGACCGCGCGCAGGAGTGGCTGCGCGTTTCTGACACGGCCTGTGCCGCCGCAGACGAGCTGGTGAAGGAGGCGCCGGCGCCCCGCCGGTCTGCCGCTGTGGCGCCCACCCCGCAGCCGTCGGCCGCCGCCGGACCCGGAGCAGCCGCCGGCGGCGCGGCCCGCCAGCCGGCCGCGGCGACCGCTGGAGCCGCCGCCACCGCCGGAGCCGCCGCCGGCGGACGAGTGCTCAACTTGCGGGAGGAGGCGGGCCTGTTCAGTCGGCGCGTGGTGACTGACGAGGCGCCGGCGACTGGGCAGCGCTCCCGATCCCGCTCGCCGGTCCGCCGACGGGAGGTCAAGGTCACAGCCGGCGCCGACGTAAGTTGGCCGCTGCTTGTGGATATCACCTGGCTGTGTGCGTGCACGTGCTTGCGTGCGTATCTGTGTGCGTGAAATTACCTAGAGAAAAGGGAATTCCATTGAGACGCCGTTTCCTGCGGGTTTTGAAAGGTTTAGTCGTAAAGACCACACCGAGATGGAAATAGATGCTCGGATAAGCTAACGTCGGCTACATAAACACCACTATTTTGCTACATCTGCTTATACAAATTTCCCATTTGGTTTATTCCCGCTTTTTTGCACCAAATTTACTGGTACCTGATGTTGGAATCCTCATGTTTGCTTGCATTTCGATACACCTTTAGTTGAGTGCTACGGTGAGGCAGAATCATCTGATTGCCCCAAGACATCTTTCACGCTATGGTGATGTCACTGCTTCATGTGAGGGATGGTAGGGGTTGCATCAATTTCTACTCTGAGCTTCTTCATATCATGACCACTGAGGATAGGAAAAGGACTTATCAGACAACGATGGTCGCCAGCTATATGTGTAGCAGTACAGTTGATGTGGGTGCTTCGCCGAATGGCTGCTGAATGAATCCCCTTCAAATGATACAGCCTGCCAAATATGGGGCTAAATTGTTCCCAATGCTTTGGAAGTTGTAATGTTTTTTACCTGGAGCAGGTTGCATCACAAGCAAGTTGAATCCGTCACGATATGTAACAGAATAGTGTTTTTCTGGTACGTCGCGATTCGTCGCAGTTGTAATCTAGCAAAAGGCTGCCGTTGCAATTGGTCAGTTTTTAACCACTGTCACTAATTCCGGATCTCAGGGAGAAATTACAGATATACAAAGGATGTGAATTTGGGTAGGGTGGCAACAAGCAATTCCTATCATGCCATTCAATCAATGACAGTCAGTCACTGAGATCATTTTCGGTACATCAGTATTGATCACTAATGCAACATGCATATCACTGATGCGCCATGCACCATACACAGCTGATGCAACATGCGCTGCCCGACTGAACTACTTCCAGGTTGTAATATTTTTAAACAGCTTGCACCTGGGAGAGCACAAAGAAGGGTCTCTATTGACTGGAACGAACAGCCCGCAATTAAGGCTCTCGCGGTCGAGGGCTTGGACAGATGTTTGTAACGCCCACAATAGAGGAGAGCAGGCTGTTTGAGGTACCTTCATGAACACCAATTTGAGCTCTAGATCAAAAACCGTGCTTCGGGTAGGCAAAGCACTGACTGGATCACGGCTCCGCCCCATTGTCAGCAGATGCCAAGACCCTTCTCCCTGTCCGTTCTCAGGCATCTTGTTCCCAGGGCGGTCAGTCCCCTCACCACATCGGTCAGGAATATACCTAAGTGTTGCCGTATGGCTGCGACACTTGCTTGCGGAACATATCTCACGATCCACGTGCAGAGCGGTCGTGGTGCGGCCGTGTTCGGACAGGAGGTATCAGACCTGATGTTTGCGCGCTGCCAGAGCGGTCGTGGTGCGGCCGTGTCCGGACAGGAGGTATCAGATCTGATGTTTGCGCGCTGCCGGTAGACAGACGTGCGGTTGACTGGGCCTCGAGTCGGGGATGAGGGCACCACCCTCGCGGCCAGTCCCCGCTCACCCCCGGCCGGGCAGGGTTGGGCGCCTGAGGCGTGGGGCCGGTGGCCGCCACTCGTACCTCACGCAGCCGCTCCCAGTTTGGGGAGGTGAACGGTGTGTGCGCCCCCTGACGACGGGCACGCCGCGCGGCAGGCGACTTGGGTGGCGCGGCGCGGACCCCAGTCGACGGTGGGCGCCGTGGTGTCGCGCGAAGAGGCCGAGGCCGAGTACGACCCGCTCAACCCCGCCGTGGGCGCTGTGGCCAGCACAGTGCGCGTGACGGAGCGGCCGCGCCGGCCGGCCAGCCAGCAGCCGCGGCCCACTCTCTTGCTCAAGGCCATGCGCGACGCCCAGCAATCCACCGTCGCCTCCGTCCGACCGTTCCTGGTGCGCGCGCAGAACCAGCCGACCGCGGGCAAGCATAAGGTCAGTCGGCGGCGGCCGGACTGCGCACCCTGTCTGGAACGTGTACTGGGTGTCATGGCGGCTTGTCTCATCCAAGTGCAAAGCCAATGACACGTTGGAGGACGCAAGTTGCTAAAGTATTTTTACTGTGGTGTCTTCGACGTCTGATTGCGTACAACACACTTCATGTGTATGGTTATTATGACTGAGTGGTACTGCGACCCGCCAGGTCAAGCAGGATGTGACCTGTGGTGACCGCCGACATGCGTTCTGTCCTGCGTGACGAGCTGGCCGTGTGACGTTTTGAGGCCGGGCCTCCAGCGTGCCGGCCGGTGGGGCCGTGTGTGCCGCCCCTGGGCGGAAGCTGTCTCATGCGTCAGACCGCTGCGTGTCAGCCGCCCGTCTGTGTCCGGCAGAGGGAGCTGTTCACGGCGTCGCTGTCGGGCCGGCAGCGTGCCGTGCCGTCGGCGCCGGCGCCGGCGCCGCCACGGGCCGTACAGACGCGCCGCCAGCGCAGCGGCTCGCCCGGCCAGATAGCCATCACAGTGCGGAACGCGTCGGCCGCCGGCTCGCCGGCCGGCCGCCGACGCCGGCCGAGCAGCCCGCCGCCGCGCGCCGACCCGTGTCCCGGTGAGAGCCCCCGCCCGCAGCCGGGCCGTCTGCCGCTCTCATTGGCCGTCTTCCTACCTCATCCGGACAAACCCAGTGGTATGGTGCCATCTCGCTGCCCTTATGCGGCCAAAATATTGGACATTCTTCGTTTACGTGGTGCCAGTATGTTCTGGGTAGTCCATGTTGACATTGTAACAGCAGGATGGGAAGCATGTTGGCGTAAATCGTCGCTTATTACCCTCTAAGCAATATCATGGCATGCCGGATGTCCTGGGCGTGCCTTTAGCGTACGCCCGCCGGTCTCCTACGTGGTCAAGCTGCCCACGTAGGAGACCGGGGGTACGGGGTTCAATTTACTGCGGTGTTCGCCCTTTCCGCCAGGGTGAGGGGCAGGTGACGCCATGTAGCATCAGTAGCTTAGTGCATCGCAAAGCCATAATCACCAACGACTGTTGATAGGCTCCAATGCTGCAAAGTTTATCCAGCGGGGTGTACAGTATGTCAACATATATTCGTGCCGCCACGCCTCCGGCTCCGCGGCGGCCTCTGCACGCGCGTGCCGGCAACTGCTAATCTGTTGCCCTTTGACCCCGAATCGTGGCATCTGACCTACCGGTCCATTTTCCAAGCCCGAGGTGGCTGCGTACTGAGTTGATCGCCGTCTGGCCCAGTGATTGGCAGATATTGGGCGATGGCAGTAAACTCCGGATCGTGGTGTGATAGAATGAACAATTGTCGACATCCCTACCACTCAAATAGTAAAAGGTTGTGGCACTGATTGGCTCGCAAGCTTACATTTGACTCTTACTCTAATACTCTACGTCCTCATTGCTGGTCTACTTGCACATGGATTAAAGGACATTATCAGCTGCAGTGATGAATTACCGAATCACGACTAAACGGTCGCGGTGTAGTTAGGACGAAGGATTTCCTGGATCACACGACAGCATCCATTTACATCCACACCAATGCAACGTCTGTTCAGCTCTTTTCGCCTCACGCTGTTCCACTCTTCCATCAACAACCATCACTTACTGACCGCCTAAACGTGTATACCTTTTTCACCTGCCTGACACGAGGGGGACACCGTGCGAGGTCAGCTGCCGAAGACATCGACACTCGCTCTCCTCCCAGTCAGCACGTCATACCAAACTTCCGAAACGGCGACGCGCCCTTCAGCCACCTGGAGTCGCACCTGTCGTCCCGCTATCCGACATTATTCAGATGTGTTGATATTCTATGTTTTGTGTGTTTTCAGTTCACTTTAATTCTACCTTAGTAAAATGCACCCAAGTGGTCGGACGTACAATGCCGCCGGGAACCGCAGGGGATTTCAGAATAAAAGTGGATGTGCTTTTTATAGTTTTGGTCCGTACCTTTGCATTGGATAGATTTCCGCAATAGGCGTTCACGCTAAGCAGCGCTTATGTGAACCCCGACTCCACCATCCGATCGTGTAGTTCCAGGCCAACGGCAGAGTTTTGTGGCGAAGGTTCAACGTTCTGCAATGCTTATCAGCCTGTCTGCTAGTCGTAGGTCATACCAGCCAGGGGCAAATAGCCAGCGCAGAGCGATCCATCCCCCCTCACCGCCGCACACAGGCTGGGAGGCAGGCGCGCTCCCCAGTTTCAGATCCCCTCCCCGCCGCACACAGGCTGGGAGACAGGCGGACTCCCCAGTTCTAGGATATGTCTGAGAGGAATGGCCAACAGTCAGCAAGTTGTAAAGTTTTATCAGACGGCTCAGATACTACAGCATGAAAGCCTGTAGGGTTTTCAGCTCCCGGCCCATTGAGTTGAATGTTTTTGTTTTTTTTCAACCCGTGCTAAACGCTCCAGAGGTGTCATGATGGCGGGATGTGCCGAACGTCTGGAGGAGTAAAGAAGCGATGTACCAAACACGGTTTCCCTGCACACATGTGTTTGCCCTGCTGTTCAATGTCCCCGGTTTGGGAACACCAGCCAACACATGCCGCGTGTGGTGCCGCTAACTACTGACGACCGGCGCGTGCGTACGTCTGACGGCAGTGTGTACCCGTCAGAGCGCGCCGAGCCGAAGCCGAGGGAGGCGGCGGCGCGCGCTCGCTCCGTGGAGCCATCCTCTGACGAGGAGGACACGGTGCACGTGACGATCGGCGAGGTGAAGGCGCGGCCGCAGCGCACAGGTGGGCCCCGGACCGTGCCCGGCCGTCGCCCCGGGCCCCGCGGCGGGCGACCGGTACAGCTCTCGTGACTGGCGACGTGTGGTGGGGCCTGATGGACGGCTAGAAACCGTCGGGGTCGTGGATATGTCGGGTTCTGCTAGTTTGAGGAGTGCACAGTGCGAAGTTCAGTTTTGCTTTACTTTTGTGTCTTGCCTGAAAATATCAGGTGTTTAATTGTCACATGCCACGGTTGCGTGCAGCCAAAAAGCGTGTTTGATGCCACTGACCTGCGGTGAACTGAACGGCGTGTTCCATCCGGGCAGAGAGTGTGGTGGAGCCGGCCGAGTACAAGCCAACTGCGATCCCGACGGTGGACGACATCTCAGCCATCGTGCACGCAGTGGCGGACCGGATCAAAAACCCGCCGCCAACGTATGCACTGACATTGCTGAATTCCACGTGTCAGGGATGGTGACCATGTTAACATTTGTTCACGAACAAATCACTTGCGGGGTGCTCCAAAGGGAATGCTTTTTTGTTTCTGTTTCTGTGAATGAAATGGCTGTCTGACGAAACCAGAGGCTCCCTGAGGCTTGGACCCGTGCTTTGGAGCCTGTGTGTACATGTGTGTGTGTGTTTGGGGGGGGGGGGAGGCGGGGGTGTTCAGTCTGGATGGGCCGGTGGATGGTATATGTGCGCTGGATATTACGTCCCGGCCCGATATTACGCGCCTCCAGTCCGGCATTCGTGGTCACCTGTGTGTGTGTTTGGGTGGAGGAGGGAGGAGGGGGTTTAGTCGTGATGGTCCGGCGGTATACATGTCCTGGATGCTGCCTCCCGGTCCGGCGTTGTATGCGCCTGACGCCCCCCCCCCCCCTCTCCGGCAGCGTGCGCGCCTCCAGTCCGACGTTCGTGGTCACTATGACCGGTCTGGGCGCGTCCCGGTTCGCCCGCTCGCTGAGCGTCGACGAGGCGACCGACGGCGTCGCACAGGACGAGCTGGTCGAGGAGGAGGAGGAAGAGGAAGAGCTGGAGGAGGCCGACCTCCGGCAGCAGCTGTTGGAGGACCGCGCCCGCAAGTCGGCGCACCCGGGTGAGCTCTGGCCCACACCTGGACACCATGCGTTATCACCTGGGGACCGTCTGTTACGCTGCAGGCAAACCGTCTGTGACGCTGAAGACGAACCATCTATGACGCTGCAGGCAAACCGCCTGTTATGCTGAAGACGAACCGTCTATGACACTGTAGACAAACCGTCTGTGACGCTGGAGACGAACGTCTGTGATGCGGTAGACAAACGGTTTTTTACGCTGGAAATAAACCGTCTGTGACGCTGCAGACAAACGGTTTGTTACGCTGGAGACGAAACGTCTGTTACGCTGCAGACAAACGGCTTGTTACGCTGGGGATAAACCGTTTGCTTCACCGGGGACAAGCCCTTCTAGTGACGTCACCAAAACCGAGACATGTCAAGGCTCTGGGAGGGTGTGCAGATTCGGCGGGTAGCATGTTCAAATGATTGTTGTACAAGTGTGCAACTCAGCTGAACAACTGCTGTTGTACCGGCACGTGACGGGAGACGAACCGAATCCCACAGTGATTGCGCCGCCGCCGGAGCCAGAGCCGGAGCCGGAGCCGGAGCCGCCGCCCGCCCAGAAGCCACCCGCTCGCTGCCGGTTTTGGCCCTCCTGCAGACTCGGCGCGGAGTGCCTGTACCATCACCCCAGCGTACCCTGCAAGTGAGTGTGCCATTACCAGCACCGCAGTCCAGCATACTACCGGCTTGAAAGTCGACTGCTGCTACCCAGGCAACTGGTGGTATGCCAGCGTAAATGGATATGCCCAACATGATACGAATTATTAAACGTATCACAGTGCCCAACGCATGCTAGGGTCCTGTTTGCCGATAGCTTCCGGTCCATCAGCTCTGGCACCCCATCTTGGCTTGTATCGTAATTAAGTCAACGTTTTGTGGGTGTTGACGTGAGTTCCATCATGGCTGCCAAGTCGCCATTTCCTTCGCCGCGCCGGCGCCGAGTCGATCGTTGTGGCCTCTGTTAGCCCTGCGCTCTGTCGCGCGGCTGACGCTGGGCCATGCCCGCAGGACGTTCCCGGCCTGCAAGTTTGGTGACACCTGTCTCTACATCCACCCGCGCTGCAAGTTTGACGGCAGCTGCTGGCGGGCCGACTGCCGGTATTCGCACAGCGGCGCGCGGCCGTCCGTGGCGCCGGCCAGCGCGATCGGTGAGCCCCGCGGAGCCGCCTGCGGTGCAGCGGCGCGGCTGTCAGCTGCGGCTGCAGCCACAGGTCCACAGCATACCTACCACCATCATACACACACAGCTCCGCAGAGCCACCTGAGGTGCGGCGGCGCGGCTGTCAGCTGCGGCTGCAGCTACAGATCCACAACATACCTACCACCATCATACACACACAGCTCCGCAGAGCCGCCTGCAGTGCAGCGGCGCGGCTGCCAGCTGCGGCTGCAGCTGCAGCCGCAGGTCCGCGACATACCTGACGGCATCACGCATACACAGCCCCCGCCGCCAGCTGCAGGTCCGCGGCATACCTGCCACCATCGCACACGTCACGTAAGCTATGAAAAGGCTGCCTGACGGTGTGAGCGCAGGACTTGGTTACAATACTGGTCGGCAGTGTTCACAAGTACCACTAACCCTCCGTGGATGAGGACTGAGTTTGTGGCTTGTGGCGGCTGTTCGGGCCTGATGGTGGTCATGCCTGACGCGGTGGATGTTTTGCAGCGAGTGGGGTCGGCGCCCGGCCCCCGCCTCACACGGCTGCTGTCTCGATGGTAGCGGAGTGCAAGTTCTTTCCTAACTGCACCAACCCCAGCTGCCCCTTCATTCATCCCAAGGTGAGACAGAAGTGTCGCCAGTGCAGCGTTCAAGTGAGACTGTAATCGGCTCCCGCTCAAGCTTAGGTTGTGGGATCATTCTGCTATATACGATTGCTGTTCTAGATAACGGATACCCACATGTCGTCAGTGACATTTCTTTGCATTCAAACCTTTCATAGGCAAGCTGTCATGACTGCTTCCTGGAAACAGCTTTTCCAATGATCTGGATGTGTGAATCGCCACTCGACCCTCTTTCAGATGTGCCGGTACGCGGACGCCTGCACCAACCCGTCGTGCCTGTTCAGCCACCCGACGCCACCGCAGCCGGCCGGCCGGCCGCAGTTTAAGTGGGTGGCGCCGGGAACGATCTGAGCGGGCGCGCGGCGTCTCACGCGCCGCAGCGGCGCGCCGGGAGTGCCGGCCCGCCGGCCCCTGACCGTGGCGCAACACTCAGGACACCGGGCGCCGGCCGGGCGCGGCCCGCGGCCCGCTCCCCGCTCCCGTGCCCGCCTGCGGTCGCGAGCGCGTGCAAGCGTCCGCCGCCGCGTGAACTGTGCGCTGTGGCGGCCTGCTGCGCCGGGCGCCGGTGACACGTGCGTGATCGAAGCTTGGACGGGTGAAGCTCTGACCATCCGCCACGTGTGACGAGGTTCTCAGCTCGGCGTGCGCGAGAGTCCGGGTTGACGGCTGGCGGGCTTAAACTGTGTACTGCTCCGTATGGGTAGTGGCCTGGCATGTATCAAATAAGTCACTGAAAGTCATGCTTTGGTTATCTTTTGTCGTTGTCCCATGATCTGCCCCTGTCATAAAAAGACCATGGAATCTTTGTTTTTAACTGCAGGACGAAATATTTTGGCCAGACTGCCTGTTTTCGGTGCTCTGGATGAGCGATATATACCAGCAGCACCGTGTGAAGCATTCGTTAATTCGCAAGAATCCCACGGGAGAAATTCCCCTCATTCTCACAAAGCACACTCGGCGAATGTATTTCATTTTTGGAGGAAGATCTCTGAGGCATTAGTCATCGCAGAGCTGCCTTGTTCAGAAAATGCCAACGAAACAAGGTCACCTGGCATTAGCGGGCACACGCGTGCGATGTGGGGCCCAGGGAACTGCAATGGCTCGTGTGTCGTCGGCCAGCGCCCTGCAGCCGTGCTGCAAGTTTGTTGCATCACCACTATTCTCCTGTTGTTATTCACAGCATTCCTTAGCGGCACGGCGGCCAAGGGAGGCTGTGCGGTCTGCTGCCGTTGTGCGTCGGCGCCGCTGAAGCTGGGTTGTCCCTCCCGGCTGTTCCTCCTGACAAGCGCAAATGTCAGACGCTTATGGAGAACGCTGTTTAGAGGTCATGTGACCAGGGTCTAGGCATGGGCGCCTTTCGGTGATAAAATGGTGTCATGAGGTAAATTTTCGCAAAAAAAACGAGAAGGGTTTTACTATTTTGTCATTGAAAGATACTCGTTTAACCATGCGGGCCATCTCCATCTTTCGCAAAGGCCGGTTTGGCCGCTTTTACACCACGCATTATCCACCCATCATGTCGGATGAGACGGTCCAGCTACCTCTCCTCAGCGGGCCGCCGGCACCAGGCAGCGCACATCTCCATCAGCAGGCTACCGGCACCAGTCGGCGCACCACACCTCCACTCAGCGGACCACCGGCACCTGTCAGTAACCAGTCAGCACCCGCGTCAGCGGGCTGGAACTCGGCACCTGTCAGCACACACTTCCTCTCAGCAGGCCACCGGCACCTGTCATCGCGCACCTCCCCTCAGCGGGCCGCCGGCACATGTCAGCGCACCACACCTCCCCTCAGCAGGCCGCCGGCACCCGCCAGCGCGCAACTCCCCTCAGCGGGCTACCGGTACTAGTCAGCGGTCTTGATCAGAAGTTGCCAGGTGGCAGGGCCCTGTGTGAAAGTCGACGGAAAATAATGCATGGCGTCAGAAGCTGATTATTTCCAGACATTTATAAGTTAACATTTTGAGTTCAGCGTCATTCCATACTGCAATGGGCACCCTTCAACTCGCTTTTGCATTATTGGCTGCAGATGTGTCATTTATGCTTGCCTGCGCAAAGTTACCACATGGCCTGACCGGACTTCATCCCGGGTTTGGCTAACTTATTTTTGTTCTGGAAACTTTGATGCATTTAGTGTGCGCATTCTATCACAACAGGTTTGAATCGGCTTCAACATATCAGTTTGCGCTGATCATTCGGTATCCCGTGGTATATTTGTCGATGGGGAATACCGATCTGGTGTGCGGTGACCTCTTTAGGTCACAGTTTGTGGTACCCCGTGAAAAACCAAGAGGTGCCCTCGCTATCTTGGATGGTCCAGATAGGTGGAGATTTTAAAGACAATCGATCAGGTGGAGACTCCAATTCGTTGTGTCGCGTGTCGAAGTTTATGGGGAAATTGTAATACACGAAAACTCATAGGTGTATAAGAAAGTCTGCTGTCCTTCAATATGCTTGGGTAAGGACTTTTAAAAAAAAAATGTACTCCACCTTAATGCCGGCTCGAATGATATGTGACATGTATATTGTTTGTCGACATTTAACGGGTGACTTTTATGACACCTGGAGGTCAAACCAATCGCTGCCTCACATTACGGTCCGTAATATGTCCGTACACCTTGGGCTATCTTTGGTGTAAGTTTCATTGCAATCGAAGGGGTTGGCTAATTCTGCTAAACATGAATATCGAACTGCTGCTTGCTCCCCACCCTTTTTGTAGGGTATCCAGTGGTTTGATCTTCAGAGGTCGTAAAGGGTTACTCGATATTTGTCGACAAACATAATACTCGAGTTGTGTGTACATTCATACTAAACAGACTTATATCGATCGCAATACGTTAGGCCACCTTACTTATCTTTTATCTCGATTGACTTGATATCCGGTAACGTTTAGAGCTCATAGGTTTTGAAATGCCGTGAAAAAACGAGAAATTCCCTGGTTATCGGTGCTGCACCACACTTAAAGCTCGGGATATTCCAGTTCATGGGGTCTCGCACTGATGTTAAGGTGAAGTAATGCATTAAGCAAAACACTTGTTAGTTCAAAAGAAAATCCGCAGATAAACTCTTTTAGTATTGTGCGGGTAGAAGGCCACCCAATTCTCTTTCATAAACATACAAAATGTTACTCAAAGTACAGATGTAGCATCTAGTGGCTATCGCTCGCTGGGCTTCAAATATGTGGCTTTAGTTGTTTATTTGCAATTTATTGCACTTAAATTATGAATTGGGCATCCGGCATACACCACTTCCCTACGTCATATTTCTATCACACGAAACATCATATTTAGCCGCCACGACCTAGCTACGACTGCTACGTAAAAGCGCCACCGTCAAAAAGAAAACGCTGGCCTTGATCCGGCGGGATGACCTTGATTTATAATGTCTGTATATTCGTATGTATGTATTAAGTGTTGAGGAATCAGCGTTACGGGCCGGCGTGTCCCCTCATCGTCGTAATACAAAGTTTGAAGGTAGGGTCATGATATGTCACTCAGATATTGATCCTTTATGGTGATTTATGGTATTTAATGTCGCATCTATACCGATTGGTGTGAAACGTGCTTTTGCAACGTCAGGTACAAATGTCGATCACTCATCCAGCTTCTACTGTACCTATTTTTTTTTAGCTAGGTGTGGGAGAGAAGGGGGAGAGTCAATGTACACATCGCATGTCATATGATCATAGCTGACTGGGCATATACTCAAAATTTACCCCAGGGAAATACCATATGTTCTCCAACATCATGCCAATTTGTAAAAAAAATCCTGCAAGATCACCTAGTATCTTATGTTAACTCTGTTTGGGAGGGGGGGGGGACACTGCTGTTTTAGCCCTTCCCTTGTCTATTTCCTGATACCTACAGGCTATATGTATGCATGTCACCATGAATCATGGTATAGCTTTATCATGTCTAACATGTAACATATCATAAAGACAAAGATTAGATGCAGTTACCATGTGTTTTGGAGGGAAGGTGGGTCAGTTTTTGGGGTCATCAGGTTTTTAGTGAATTTTTAGTCAGGTTTTGCCTGTTTTCCTGTTTAGCTTTTCCTCAGATAATTGTGATCCGACACAATAGCCCAAATGAACCCCAGGCCCTCATCTATATACTCTAAAATCAACTCCCACACCCTATCCTCATACTTTTGAATCAAGAAACATGTGACTTTATACAAGAGTCAAACTTAGTGCAAATTTTATTTGACATAACATTCATATTTTTGTGTTCTATGCTTGACATGTATTTGCCACCTGTTCTTGCTTTGGTGCTTCTAGATAAATGGTAACATAATAATGGATATTTGGTAAGCAGCTGATATAGAGCCTTCCTGAGAGTTAAGGCATTTTGTTTCAAGGTGGTGGCAGGCTGCTGAAGGGACCACAAAGTTAAACTTTGCCTGTATTCAGTCACATAGGGGTTCAAATGGACATGTATGCTTCCTACTTATGGAATATGTTCTAAGGTAGATATAAGTATTGAAAATTTGTTCAGGAATCTGAATGTAAATATCAAACTGCAACTAAGCTCACATACATTAGCCAATGATATACTTAACACTTGGTCCCCATGTACTTGTGCTTATTGATATGCTCAAACTGACACTCATGGCAAAAGAGGCATGCCATGCTATACTTAAGCACTGAAAAATCCACCGTGTTGAGTAGCAAACAGGGTTGGAGAGTTCCATGTGTACTTCAAATTGTCAGAATTTAGCAAAATGTGGTGAAGGTTGGCTTTTTCATCACTCTAGAATTGTGACAAGGTCATCTCCTCCCTTTTGCTGGACCAGTCTGCTCCCTATCATTAACTTAAATTTTACCTGATATAAGTTTGCACACTTGATTTTGTTTTTTGGCTTATGGCTTAGTGATGTACTGTTATTCATATCACCTTGATTTTAATTGTTGGAGAAGTAATTTTTGTAGAACTGCCTCCCAATGTATTTTGCTGGTTCCCTGGATGGTGCACTATTTTCCAGGCCCTGACACTGCTAGTCATGCAGTGCACTGCAACCTAGGTAATTGTTGCCAGGTGCAGCAGCCTGCAAGGGTTTACAGCACTGGCTGCGTTGTTGGCAGCGCAACTGCCATGACTGGCAGCCAGCGCATGTTCCTGGTGGATGGCCAGGCAGTGTACCTGGAGGGCCTGGAGGGTGGCGGCGACATCAGCGAGGATGTGCTGCAGCAGGCACTGGTGCAGCTGGCTGATGACAGAGGGGAGGTTGAGCCAGCCAGTGATATGATTCAGGATGCACAGAGGCTGGGTAAGCCCCTCTGGCACGCACTGCCTGACTGGGTGATCAAGTTTGCCATTTGCTTTGCAATAGCATTCCCTGCTGATGTGTGCTTTTCAGGTATTTTATAAGTTATTTAATTGACTGTGGAATGATGGGAGCTGTGCCAGAGTGTCCAGAGTTTGCTAGATCTACAGAGCAAGCATGCAGTATTAACCCTGGATCCATGGACCACACCCATGTTCACCGCATGGATGTCATGAATGGCATAATGGCATAATGGCACAGACATAGTGGTTGCTGAGCCTGTGTTTGTGGTGTGTCAGCAGAGGTGGGGGACGAGGAACCGCTGGAGGAGGATGGGGAGGGCGTGCTGGCCGTGCTACAGGATGAGGCCGGCCAGCAGCAAACAGTGCACCTCACGCCCAGCCAGGCCGCCGCGCTCGGCATCGACTACCAGCAGCTGCTGGCCGCCGCTGCAGCGCCCATCGATACGGTACGGGAGCCGACTCCACGTTGACCAGCGGGCGCAACATCCGCCTGGCTACTGTTGCCAACAGGCGGCCCAGGCGCCGCGGGATCTCGCTGTGTTGCTACAAATAGGCCTCAGGTCGGATGCTGTGTTTACGGTTGCGTGACCCGCAGGAGGTGGCCGATTTGGGGCCGGAGCCTGTGCGGGAGCGGCGGCCGTCGGTCGGCGAGCGGAGCACCGCCCAGGAGGTGGCCTCGCTCGCCTCCTCCGTCGTGCTGGACCTCAACGAGCAGCCAAGCCTGGTGGACCAGTCGGTGGGCGGTCACAAGGTGGGCGCTGGGCTTGGGCTGCCCAGCGGCTGAGGCCGTGTGATCCGGTGGCGCCGCCGGCCCTTGTGTGCTGCCTGACCGTCATCAGACGGCGCTCTACGGGCCAGCGCAGCCCCCCGCTGGCTGCTTTCCTGGCTCGCTCCGGAGGTCCATTGTGGCCTGCCAGCGGGGTGGACGCAACTTGGGCCGGGGCATCACTGGCGACAGGGTCGTACAGTGCCCGCCTTGCCACGCCTTACAGCTCGTACAGTGTAGGCTGTGCCTCGATCGGCCGATTCTCGATTGTGTTCCAGCATGAAGTAGCGGCGGCTGGCCGATGAGGCAGGCAGGCGCCCGGTGTTGCCGGCGGGAAAGCCTCGTGTCTGCGGTAACTACGCCGATCTCCTGGTGGCCAGGTGACGTACACGTTCGAGGTCGTTGACGACAAGGACGCGGCGCCAGTGGACGCTGACCGGCCCGTCGGCATGCCCGGCCTGCTGGCCAAGACGCGCGAGATCATGACGCCGCGCGTGCGTGCCGGTGATGCGCGTCAGATTCAGCAGCAGATCCACAGGACGGCTGCACAGGTGAGCCCGTCAGATCCAGCAGCAGATCCACAGGATGGCTGCACAGGTGAGCCCGTCAGATCCAGCAGCAGATCCACAGGATGGCTGCACAGGTGAGCCAGTCAGATCCAGCAGCAGATCCACAGGATGGCTGCACAGGTGAGCCAGTCAGATCCAGCAGCAGATCCACAGGATGGCTGCACAGGTGAGCCAGTCAGATCCAGCAGCAGATCCACAGGATGGCTGCACAGGTGAGCCAGTCAGATCCAGCAGCAGATCCACAGGATGGCTGCACAGGTGAGCCCGTCAGATCCAGCAGCAGATCCACATGACGGTTGTGCAGGTGAGCCTTTCAGATCCAGCAGCAGATCCACAGGATGGCTGCACTGGTGAGCCTATCAGATTCAGCAGCAGATCCACAGGGTGGCTGTGCAGGTGAGTCCATCAGATCCAGCGGTAGATCCACAGGATGGCTGCACTGGTGAGCCTATCAGATTCAGCAGCAGATCCACAGGGTGGCTGTGCAGGTGAGTCCATCAGATCCAGCGGTAAATCCACAGGACGGCTACGCAATTGAGCACATCAGATTCAGCAGCAGCAAAGCTAAAATGTGGTGGACGTTCGCCACATAGCGCGGTGGGCAGTGTGGTTGCTGATTGGTGTGGTATGATTGTCATAGCATCAGTCGTGTTGGCCTATATGTGGCGTATTGATGCCGTCCTGACATTGCGGGAGTGAAGCAACTGTGTTTCCCTACATTCTTTCCCTACTGTGTTTCCCTACAGTATGTTGTTCAAAGCATTACCCAACGAGCGCCGTCGTGGGTTTATTGTGTTGGCGGCTGTATGTCGGGCTGTAGCCCCGTGCTGGCGGCTGTATGTCGGGCTGTAGCCCCGTGCTGGCGGCTGTATGTCGGGCTGTAGCCCTGTGCTGGTGGCTGTATGTCGGGCTGCAGTTCAACACTGGCGGCTGTATGTCGGGCTGTAGCCCCGTGCTGGCGGCTGTATGTCGGGCTGCAGTTCAACACTGGCGGCTGTATGTCGGGCTGTAACCCCGTGCCGCCGATGGCCAGGTGCTGCGGACCACCACACCGTCGGCGCCGGTGCCCAGGGACCCAGTGACTGGGGGATACCTTTCGGCGGCTAAGGTCAAGCGGGGACCGGTGTACAACACGGGGCCGAACGCTGTGAAGAGCAAGAACAAGACAGTCATCAACACGGCCAGCTCTGTGCAGGAGGTGAGGCAGACTCCGCCGGCCGGCTCCAGAGACGCAGCCGGCCGAACAGACCAGCGTCACGGCAATGGAAGGCATTGGCCACCTGGTTTCCACCTGTCGTACATGTATAACCCCCGTGTGTGGAATGTCATGGCCGTGTATGCGTGTGGGCGCCTGGTCCGATGTGATCCATGTGGCCCCGCGGATGTCCTTGGTCAGCTGACGACGTGGCCCCGCGTCAGCGACCCGCACCCGGACGCGTCTGACCCGTCCCTACCCCTCTGGGTGTGGACAGAAGACGACGAGCGCAGCGGCGGCGGCGACTGCAACTGGGACTGCGGCCGGGACTGCGGCTGCGGCTGCGGCTACGGGTGCGACTGCGACTGTGACTGCAAATGCGGCTGCAGCCGGCGGCGCGCCCTCCTCGACGCCTCAGCCCGACGAGGATGACGATGACCTGCCGGTGATCCTGACGCCGATGAACGGCGAGGAGCAGCTGCCGGACTTCATCGAGCCGCGACCGGGCCTGCGCATCCTGGTGCGACCGCTGGAGGCGTCCGAGGACGGCGGCGGCGGCGGCGGCGGCGGCGGCGGAGGCGGAGCAGCGCCGTGCTCACGGCCGCCCGGCTCCAGCAACAACCCCATCCAGCTAGTCCAGCAAGGCAACACGTTCAAGTCGCTACAGCCACTGAGCGCCGAGCAGCTGAAGCAGATCGCCGCCGTGCTCCAGCAGAGCAGGCTAAACGTGCCGAGTCACGCGCGCAACAGCCTGTACGACGCCGACACAAACACGCGCGTCGTGTACAGGTAAATCGCGCACGCGACATGCCGCACGTACAAATCCTGCTCAGCCTGTGGCACGAGTGCGCGAATTTCTGTTCTGTTGTTGCAGTCGCTAGCAAATAGGCTGCCACGGTAGATGATAACATCGGGGCGCCGCCCTTGGGCGCACTGAAATCGAGTCTGCAATTTGCAGCACGGAAACCTCTCTCATTGGCCCACTGAAATAGAGTCGACTGTGACGCATCTGGTCCCTGACGCCGGCCCTGTTGTCTTCCCTCTGGCGGCGGCGCCTGACGTATGTTGACGCTGCGGCCGGCCGCTGCCACAGGGTGGTGTATCCGGACGACGTGGGTCGGGCCGGCGGTGGCCGGGGCCGCGGCAGGGGCCGGCCCAGAGGCGCCGGCCGACCGCGCAGAACGGTCGACGACGCCGACGCCGACTGGTGGCCAGAGATGACGAGGGTACGCACGCCACCGGAGGCCAGAGATGACGAGGGTACGCACGCCACCGGAGGCCAGAGATGACTTGCGTACACACGCCGCCGGAGGCCAGAGATGACGAGGGTACACACGCCACTGGAGGCCAGAGATGACTTGCGTACACACGCCACCGGAAGCCAGAGATGATGACGAGGGTACGCACGCCACCAGACGCCAGAAATGACGAGGGTACGCACGCCACCGGAGGCCAGAGATGACTAGGGTACACACGCCCCCGGAGGCGTGCGTACCAGATGACGAGGGTACCCACGCCACTGGAGGCCAGAGATGACTTGCGTACACAGGCCACCGGAGGCCAGAGATGACGAGGGTACACACGCCACCGGAGGCCAGAGATGATGAGGGCACCCACGCCTCGGGAGGCCAGAGATGACTTGCGTACACACGCCACCGGAGGCCAGAGATGGCGAGGGTACGCACGCCACCGGAGGCCAGAGATGACGAGGGAACACACGCCCCCGGAGGCGTGCGTACCAGATGACGAGGGTACACACGCCCCCGGAGGCGTGCGTACCAGATGACGAGGGTACGCACGCCCCCGGAGGCCGGGCTCTGTCCGCTGATGCGCCAGCGCCCCTGCCGGCTCAAGCCAAACAGCCAACAGCCCCGGCCGCCAGCTGACCGGCGGCGAGCGGCCGGAGCTGAAGGCGGGCTCGCCACGTGTTCGCGAAACGCGCGATCGGGTGATGTCAACACAGCTGTGCTGTGTCATGTAGCAGAATGATGGCTTCAACGCGTTTGCTGGTTGCCTATTGTTGGAGCTGTTCTGGACGTTTCACACATGTTAATTTGCCGGTTTTTTTTACCTCAGGCTGAGAAAGCGGAGAGGAAGCGTTCCGCGACGAAAACCCGAACTGGTCGCTTGTCGAAGCCGCCGAAGCACATGGTGAAAGACTACAGACACATCCACCGGTTAGACTGCTCTCGCTCTCGCTGTACGCTGACTCGACGCTGTGCTGCGCAGCCATCCGCCCCGCAGGTGCCCTGGCTAACCAGCCCTGTGGGCTGTCTGATTGGGAGATGACACGCCAGGTCGAGGTGCGTGCGTGCGATGCGAAGTTTGCCCGCGCCTCGCGGACTGTCACAGTGGCGGTGCTGGAGTCTTGCACGATTGCGCCGGACAGGCTCCAGTGCGGGCACGGGGGATCGGCCGCCAGCGATCTGTGCGGGGTCCGGGTCAGCCGCGGCAGGGCAACGCGGCCGGGCGGCGCGCCCTGACCGGACGGAGAGCCGTCGGCACGGCGCGGACGGCCGCGCGGTCCTGGCCGGTAACGTTCGGCCGCCGCTCGCAGGCTGGACTTCAACTCGCCGGACCTGGACGACTCTGACGGCGGCTACTCGGACTGGGAGGATGGCGACGCTGCCAACCGGGACCGGGATGGAGCTGACACCGGCGGCGGTGAGCGGCGCGGCGTCCGGAGCCGGGACTGGGACGGGACTGGGATCCGGCTCCGGACCCGCGCCCGGACCCGGACCCGGACCCGGACCCAAGCCGGACGCGGACCGGACCTGGGACCGGGACAGGGAAGGGCCTCACACCGGTAGCGGTGAGCTGCTTCCGGCCGAGAAACGGACCGGGAACGGCGACTGGACCAACACTGGCCCGTCCAGTCCCAGGCCGAATCCCACGGCAGCGGGCCCGTGTATTCTCCAGCTTGTCACCAAGCACCCATGAGCGCAACAAGTAATGTTTGAACAGGCGTCGGACAAGTGTGCAGTTAACTGAAGAAGGTAGGAAACTTGCACTGTCTGCTCTTGGGGATAAGTCGATGTGTCCTTATATATGATCATCAACGACGTGTCCTTATATATCATCATCATTATATCATCATCATCATATAGCATCATCATCGTCCTGCAAGTCGACGTAATTGTTGGGATTCCCGGTCTCCTGGACTCTCCTTGGCCAGGCGCAGGACTCAGCCCCGTCCTCGGACACGCCTGGCAAGGTCCCGTCCTCGTCCTCGGACATAACAGGCACGGTTCCGTCCCCGTCCGCAGACAAACCTGGCACGGTCCCGTCCCCGTCCTCGAACACACCTGGCACGGTCCTATTCCCGTCCTCTGACAAACCTGGCACGGTCCCGTCCCCGTCTTAAGACGCACCGGGCACCGTCCCGTCCCCGTCCGCAGACACACCTGGCACGGTCCCATCCCTGTCTTCGAGCACGCCTGGGACGGTCCTATCCCCGTCCTCGGACACACCTGGCACGGTCCTATCCCCGTCCTCGGACACACCTGGCACGGTCCCATCCCGTCTTTAGACGCACCTGGCACGGTCCCATCCCCGTCCTCGGGCACACCTGACTGACTCCTGCGCTCCGTCGGCAGGCGGGTCAGCAGCCGGTGAGGGCGATGAGGAGCGGTCGGCGTCGATTCTGAAGCCCAAGCGGCAGCTGCCGCAGACCATGCGGGACCGCTTCACCTGCCTCACCTGCGGCGCGCTCTGCATCGGCTACATCCGACTGGAGGGCCACTTCCGCAAGTTCCCGGACCACGAGCGACCCGGTGAGACGGCTGGCGCCGGCCGAACACGGCCAGGCGGCGGCCAGGGGTCGTCGCGGCCGCCCACCTCCAGCCGGCTGGCGGTGGCCAGGTGGCGTTTGCTTCAGCTGAGAGGGTGTGCTGGAGCAGCGCGGGTTTTTTGGTGTTGGCGTTTGACATAAATCTAAACTAAAAAACCGGAGTCCGAGGCGGCATCCGAATCCTGGTGTTTTGAATTCGCGCCCAAGTCCGTCCATCACGTACGTCATAGTCCGATTTCATCGGTTTCTCTGCAGGCGAGTCCTAGTTGGGAGGGCGGGTTTCTTAGCGTCCGCGTCCGCCGCTGAGTTTGTCCTTTACACAGCAGATGGGTCATTGTCCTGGGGTATTGAGCCCAAGTCCATGGCCGAGTTCGCCAGCTCCGTACAGATTGGTCATCGTCCTGGGATATTGAGCTCAAGTCCGTGGCCGAGTTCGCCAGCTCCGTACTCTGGCGTACTATTCGGTAGTATTGTATTGCATGAGGGATGATTATGTATTGGATGAGGGATAACCACCGTATCGGATGAAGGTCCTAACGGCATCTAGCCTACCCCATCAGCCATTGTAACGCGGCCTGCGGAACCCACCTCGTGCGGACTTATCAAACGTTCTGTATTCACAACGATCGTCTGCGGTTACTATCTCTATCACATGTCTTCTTGTCTGTCTGCCCATCTGTCGGTCAGTATTGATTTAGCCAGGGAGGGACACATCACTGCACAGATGCTGTGAAATTTGCGCATGCGTCGGACTCAGCCTTCGTAACGAACCACGATATGAACTCACGGCCGTCTGAAGCCGATGTCGGTTACGGTGTCATTGGGATGGAGCAGGGAGGTTTAGCACGAAGCAGGAAGGAATTTTTTACCTCTGTAGGAGAAACCATATATGACGTAGCCAACTGCATATGTAAGATGCCTTTGTATGAGAAGCCATGTGCATATGTAAGATAATTATGGTTTTGAGTTGCCTTGAAAGAAATGAGTTACACAAAGGCCCAGCCTCCGAAAGCATGTAGCAAGCATACCGCTCAGGTTTTCCGAGCAACGACGAATATAGCATTCCCCCACGGAGGGGCTGTCAGTTTGTGCATACACTGAAATCACAGAAAATAATAAAGACACGCCGCGTGTCATTGTGCTGTGAACCATTGGTGTGGCTGAGGCAGTGCTATACCAATCCCATCGGCTGTCTGTCTTGTCGCACAGCGAAGCATAACGAACTACAAATGAATCGCAAACGTTCGATGTCGCTGCACATGGGGGGATGTATGAGCGTTAAACAGCCATGGAAACTCAACGACCTAGTCAAGAAGTGCCGCGGGTGTCGTGATGCAAGGGGGTTTACACTATGTACCGGCGATTTCGCAGGAAGTCAGTCCAAATCCCGGGGTGTGGGGATAATTTGACATCTGCCCCTCCGTTCACCTGGTATCGTTGAATCACTAGTCAACGTTGCCTCGCCGCCAGTGAAGCTGCTGGCGCCAGCAGTGCCGAGGCCACCCTTTTGGCGTCGTCGGTTTATCCTGTTAAAATCTCTCACTATACGGTATACCTGTCGCATTAGCTTGAGTAGTGGTGATTTTTTTAGTTTGAGCTCAGGCTCGAGCTTAATTTCTAGTTCGCGTTCACGTTCCCGGTTTTGAGAATCTTTGAGTCTCTGCTTGATTCACATCGCAGCCTGAACCAGAGTCCACTGTTTTTGGTGATCCACTGGGTCGGAGTGCATATTTATCAGAGCCTGAGTACGATTTATCCGGAAAAGAATTCACCTCAGTTTAGTCTGAGGCCCATAAAGAACTTGGGTCCCGAAAAGCCTCCGAAGCCGGCTTGTCTCGGCATCATGCCTTCCCGTTACCCTGTTTGTATCTAAATTTGGCCATGCAGGCATCCGTGGGTACTACCATTCCCGATGCGACCTGGTCCAATCAGGATTTAAGAGTTCGCAAAATAGTTCTGTTTTTATGATGTCTGGCAAGGCGTGGACATTTTTCTCACAAATGATCAGGAGTCCGTGGCATGTCAAGGCGTCTGGCCTGAACAGTCTATTCACTCCACGCAGTAATCGTGTTATGCCCTTCTATGGATGTGTAAATTCAGTAAAGTATGTTTATTTCACCGCGCCACCAAAACATAAAACGATGTGCCGTACTGGAGCTCGGTCATGGGTAGTGCTGCACCAACCTGGAATAACCTGTATTCCCACTCACGGCTTGCGCTGCGCCCGCCTGGAGTAACCAGTGCGCCCGTTCTGCAGTGTACACGCCAGTGAAGTCCGCCCAGAAGGCACCGACCAGAACACGTGAGTGTGGCGAGCGTGTCCTGCGCCGCCGGCTGAGCGCCGGCTAGACCAGCTCAGCCGGGGGCGTGTCAGGTAGTGCTCCGGACGGGACGGGACGGGACAGGACGGGACGGGACGGGACGGGACGGGACGGGACGGGACGGGACGGGACGGGACGGGACGGGACGGGACGGGACGGGACGGGACGGGACGGGACGGGACGGGACGGGACGGGACGGGACGGGACCGCCCTCACGTGCTGGTGCCTGCTCGCGGTGATCCACTCATCGCTACCAGGCTCACCTGTGCAGTCAATCCCAGTTCAACCGGATCAAATCCAGTTTGAACGCCGTCACTCCGTCTCGAAGGGGCCTCTGGATGCCTACGGGTGGTGGCAAAATGCCGCAAAACATACTTTCAATGCTCATGAAAGATGTGTGGCATCTGGACAAATGCGTTGTGTACATTTCTCTGCGAATGCTTTCTGTTGGATTTAAAATTGATTCTGGATGGTTTACATGGGTGGCTTCGGGTTTGGGTTTTGGGATCGATTATTATCACAGTAACATCGGTTGCTGAGTTATGATGGCACTGTCAGGAGGCTGGAATCTAAACTCTGTTTCGCCCTAAGCAGTTGTGTGACAAGGCTAGAGGCGTTCGACGTCTTCCATGTGAGGCTGCGGTTAAGCAGTGCAGTGTTGACCCTCGGTGCGGCCGTCTAACCTCGAGCCGGTGTCGGCGCCGGGTTGACCGCGACAGCAGGCAGAAGGGGTGGCCGACAGCGCCGGACAGACGACAAGGCGACTGTCACACTGCTCCGGCCGCCTTCCAAGCGGCCCCGGCTGGAGCCGGACCCGGTGAGTTCGTCACCCCGCCGGCCATAGCGCCCCTGCCGCGCCTTGGCCCGTGTAGGCGCTGGGCGCGCATGCTTTCCTTTGGCGTTTCCTCGACATTGGTTGTACTGTCTAGCCAAAGGTAAATGAAATCGGAGCGAAGTGGGCACTTGTCCTCAGTAGTCAGGAACATGATACCGAAGTTTCGGTCACGTACATCTTGGAAGTATTGAAAAAAATGGTTCTCTTACGCTGGCCGAATTATGACTTCTAACCGGCGCCAGGCGTGACTGGTTTATTTTGTGGGTTTCTTTCGTAACTCATTTTGTTTCCGCCATTGATTCATAAGCGTTCTTCTGTGCAAGGACGCTCGAACAAAACGTTATGCCAAGCGACCCACTGGGTGTGGCTGGTGGCTGAGCGGTGGTCAAGCCGTAACCGCCTCGCCTCTCCTCTCCCCTGCAGGAGGACGACGAGCACACACCGCCGATGACGTCCGACCAGCTGCTGGCCACACTGGCGGTGCAGTCTGGCGGCAGCATCGAGAGGCTCTGTGACAGCATGCTGGCCGTGGTGGCCAGGTTCCGCGAGCACGTGCGGACGGCGCTGTGCGCCGCCGACGGCCAGCAGAGCGGCGGCGTCCTGCTGACGGTGAGGCCGGCTGTGACGTGCCAGCTGCGCACTGTCGCTGACGGTGAGGCCGGCTGTGGTGTGACCGCGGCGCAAACTGTCGCTGACGGTGGGGCCGGCTGTGATGCGACAGCTGCGCACTGTCGCTGACGGTGAGACCGGCTGTGATGTGACAGCGGCGCAAACTGTCGCTGACGGTGAGGCCGGCTGTGATGTGACAGCGGCGCAAACTGTCGCTGACGGTGAGGCCGGCTGTGATGCGACAGCTGCGCACTGTCGCTGACGGTGAGGCCGGCTGTTATGTGACAGCGGCGCAAACTGTTGCTGACGGTGAGACCGGCTGTGGCGTGCACTTGTGCAAACTGTCGCCACCCGCTCCTGACGCGTGCCGTCCTGCTACAAACACGACATGGACTTAAGCGTCATCAGGGGTCGGTATGTACGCTGCGGAAGCTCAACGTAAAAATGGGCTGCCATTGGCCAAATCAAGTGTGTGGTGAGCAGTTTCCGACGGACGGGCTTGCTTTCATGGGCTTGCTTTCATGGGCTTCATGGGCTTCAATGGGCTTGCTTTCAGATGGACGCCGACAAGTCAGCTCTGACGGGACTCCCGACCGGCGAGTACGCGCTGCGGTCGAGCGCGCAGCCGACGCCCGACACGGGCCAGTCCACGGTCGGCCCGGCGGAGGCGGTCGTGCTGGACGCGGGGCCGCGCGTGGCCGCGGCGCCCGTCGCCGAGGCCGAGCAGCGGCCCAGCACGCCCGGGCGCGCCGCCGCAGACGTCCTGGACGAGTTCGTCGGCGGCCTGGTGGACGCGGCTGGCTACGCGTTCGCGGCGGACGGTGGTGTCGACCCTCCGGCTGCGGGAAAGCTGGACGGGAGCTCGGTGGCCGGTCTGGAGACGGCGCAGGCCGAGCTGAACCTGACAGGCGCGATGGGCGGCGCCAGCGCGCCTCTGCTCGGACCGCGGCCGTAGGCTGGGCGCTACACGCCGCCACTGCGCCCGCACCCGTCACATCATCCCCGGCTGCGCGGATGGCTACTGCACTGCTGCAGTTACTGCAGCCGGATCGCCCGGCTGTGCTGAGACTGGCCACGACAAGGGCCGTTGTGGTGTGTGTTCATGTTGCCTCAGTCGCGCTCCGCCCATCGCGTATTTTTACAGCGAGTTACAGTACAAGCCATGCCACGTTATTGCTGTGCGCCAAATATATATGCTTTAGTATGCACTGAGTGTTTACCAGTCGCATGCCCTTATTGCCTCCCATGATGAACATTGTCAAGTGTGGGCACCGCCCGGTCGTACGTAGTAATAGTTGCGAAGCGTCTGCACTTTGCGTGGTGACCGATTATCCTGTGGCAACTTGTCTGCCAGCGATTCCGAACTATTTTTTTTAGAACAATTTAAACAATCTAGGAGCTCCCTGGCAGCCCCATATGCTCAGCTTCTACTGGTGAGTGATGCAGTAGCTGAGCATCAGCATTAAACATCAATACAGCACATTCCATACCAGCGATTTCAAGCGGCTCACGTGCTGCGCTGTCATTATCTGCATTATTGTGAACTAGTGAGATTCCCAGCGCTGAGCTCACTGCAAATGGGATCATCCAGCAGTGGCGACAGGACCTCTCGAATATCTGATATGTTCTTCTCCTTCGGTCTCACACTGTATACCTGACTACGTATTTATTTCCTATGTGCTACTACGACAGGAGGATTGAGATGACAGAACTCCGCCTGGTTAGTGACCAATCACGTCAGTATTGTTGGTTCGCAGTTTTTCTCATTTGGTCTCGCGATTCGCCGTCGTTCCAGCTCGGACGGGCCTGCGAGTTCTCTACATTGCTGTCCCGGGGCAGCCACTCATATTGCGAAACTGGTACCAGCAGCGGAAAAGCGCACGTTACCATTCGGTCACATGACACGCTATCGTAGCTTGCGTCACCTACTGTGGCTGGTGTCACGCTACCGTGGCTGGCGTCGCACGCTACCGTGGCTGGCGTCACACGTTACCGTGGCTTGCGTCACACGCTAACGTGGCGGGCGTCGCACGCTGCCGTGGCTGGCGTCGCACGCTACTGCGGCTGGCGTCACACGCTGCTATGGTTGTCTAACCTGCGCCTCCTCTGCAGCGCTGACGGACGGCGCCTGACCGGGCCGGGCCTGCGGTTCCGCCCGAGCCATCGCCGGCACCTGGTGCCGTCCGACATCAGTCCTGCCGGTCCAGCTCCTGCACGAACCGCAGATCAGTTCCCCTCATCTTGTCGGCCATCCAGCGGTCGAATTTGGCGTTCATCTCCGGGGTGAAGTGGTTCTTCCAGTCGCCGGTCTTGCCCTTCCGGATGAAGTTCCCGCGGTCCTGATGCATGAAGCCGATCTGCTTGCCGAACTCGGAGTTAACGAACGGGTTCTTCTTGAAGTTGTCGATGTGCAGGTGGCTCGCCAGCTTCGCAATCTCCTCATCCGAGAACGATTTGCCGAGGAATTTGGCCACCTTGCGGATCTCTGACTTCAGGTCGCGCTTCATGTCTTCGAAGAAGATAAAGCACATGTTGGGGTGATGACGCAAGTTCCATGCTTCGATCATGTGTTCAAGGAATGGAGTTTCCACGATATTGCTTTTCATGAAGTATTCCATGAAGAGCTAGAACGAAAGAGGCACGGGTACCACAAACTGTTAACGGTATCCATAGAGATGCTGGAGTCCATGCTTGGGTAACTCGGATCCATGCTAGCTCATATGACTCAGTCATTGATATCTTTGGCCGCATTTACAGCCAGAACTGCTTGCAAATAATAACTGGTGTATCGTGGTATGATTGTTACCTGCCTCTGTTACGTCACCAAGAAACCAGTTGTGTAATGCAACCAGCGATGTGAAAAAAAACGCATTTTAGTATGCAAACAGCGGTCTGGGACACTGCATCTTTGGCATTCTCTCGTCGCCGAATGCCTTCAATTTTACATTAACTAGTGTTCCAAATGCTCCACATATACGCAGCCAGGTTGGAGGCGTACCTCCAGGTCACCCATGTATTCATGACAGCGGATTAGTCTGTTGTGGTTGTAGTAGGAGACGCAGGCGTCCTTTGGGTTTCTGGCCACGTAGACGACCTTGCAGACGTCGAGAAGGCGCGGGTTGTTCATGCACATGGGCAGATGCGACTTGATGAAGCGTGGGGACGGGCGGTTGGGGTCTCCTGCCATGGCCGATAATGGAGGGGCGTTCAGCGTCGACGCAAACTTTGTCATGTACTCTGTGTCCGCTATTGCAGGGAAGTCAATGAAGCTCCATCTGAAACAGAAATACAGCGGATATAAACTGACATGCGTGAGACGCGCCTCGCGATCGGTCCGGCTCAGACTGCTGTCATGGTTCGATGGAAATGCGCAGCTATCATAAAAAGGCTAACCGCAAAGCCAGCGCCAGTCCCAGAAGGGAGTATTCCACAAGGGGGTATCCCACTACTTTTCAGCTATTGTTACATCACACGGATACGATTTGATCAGCAATGCCAGTTTTCTCGGAATCCTTCGGAATTTCTTGGAAACCTCAGAATTTCGATTTGAAGTAGCCAGCTACGCTGGAGAAATCTCATTTGACTCAATGCTCACCAATATGAAAGCAGTGCGTTTCATCTGCCGTGCATTTCCAACATATGCGTGCTGTAATGTTTGCGACACACTAATGTGTCAGCATGTTTGTGCAATCAATGCTACGTAAGCTTGAAACACCTTTTTTAGACAAAAAATATGCGAGCGCAAGACTTTTGTCTCGCAAATCCAACCAAACGTTATACTATGGCCTCCAATTCCCCCTCTATGGCATTCGGCACAGTGGCTCTTTTCGAGGCGCACTTCGGCTTTCGGAATGAGAATATCACATGAGCATGGTTCAAACCTCAATTCATGCACTTCTCGGTACCAGGTCCTAGCCCGCTGGGCCAATCACAACCATTCTTTATTCACACCAACGGAGGAGCGCACGGTGGTTGTCGTGGCGATAGTGGCTGCGATTGCAGGGAAGATGCGTAGTGCTGTTACAAAGCTTGACAGCGTTTTTTTTGGACTCTAAAATCACTAAATTTGATGTCCTTGTTATGTTTTGACGATGCTGCAGTGACATTAACAAGCGCTATTTTTAGACGTAACTAGTCTTGAGGTACCACAAGGGTATGTTTTTTTGAAATATGCCCCAAAGGTCGGACACTCCCTTCAATAAAGCACGGCCGCCTGAAAATGCACCACGGGGAAATTTTATCTTGCAAACAACATAAAATACGGTTTGCCACACTACGAGTGGGTCGCGGAATATGCGCAGCCGCGGAGCCACCAGCAGGTCCGATCTGTCAAAAGATCCTTGAAATCATCATCGGCTCTCAAATTGGATAATGACTGAAATGGTGAATGGGAAACTGGGAAATAGTTTGGGAGGGTTGAACAACGAGAAATGACTCGGCCTTCCACGAAAAACGCCAACGAAGGAAAGGTACCTCTCCGGATTGGGGCCTCTCTCTTCCCGAAATTGTGGGGCTGGAACCCAACTTGGGGTGGAGTGGGAGGCTGAATGGGGACTGGTGAAATTGTGCTTCCGAAAATACTTCAAAATAAACTCGCGCCGTTTAAAAATTAGACTGGAGCGCACCTATTTTACAGTCATTAGGCTGTCCTCTGCACAGACTGACACAGCAACACGAAAAATATAGATTTTCTCTCTACTCTTTCAATTCCGCTACCTGATTCCAGCACCACTTCACAATGCTGTGAATGCTAGCGCCTTCCTATCATCAAACTTAAAATTGCACAGTTGAAATAAAGACTCGACGACCTACGAGACCCACGAATTGACGTCCTGAAGGGTTTAAAGACTAATTTCAGACCCGTAATCATTTCCGTCCGCCCGCCGGCCTCTTCTAAGTGTTAGCCGCGGGGTCGGGGCAGGGCCGACACCGCGCGGTCTCGGAGACTGCAGCGCCGGGTGTAAAGGTTTTTCCTCAAGATTTTCGAGCGCCCATGCCCAAAACTACGCTGCATAATTTTTCTCATTTATCGATTCTGACCGAATGTTGAACATTTCAAGACAAACATGAGCTGGCCATGCTCCACGTGTTTTTGACCCAATTTGTTTGTTAGGGGGGCTTCATGATCAGGGGGTCCTTTGCAAACCAGTCACCACCCCCTTCCTCCAACCGTTGTCAAAGCTCTGGCTGCACCCCTTCAGTGCACGAAAATCAGAGCATCTATCTGAGATGAAACGCCACATTACCAACTGCCCCATAACTTTGAGAACTGAGAGACCTAAATCCGGCGGGGAACACGTCTGCCGTCCTGAGGTAAAACAGATGGTTTAAATAGCCGAATTCAGCATGAGTAGATGAATGGGATGGCTAAAAAAACACAAAATGGCCAACATTAACAAATGTGGTTTTACCTTTGGGCGGCAGGCGTTTGTTGGCGTTCTTTTCGGGTAGGTTGAGTCATTTTCCACTCTTAAACCCTTTTTTCCAAATCGGTTTGCGAAACACACCCCTGTACTCGGTCATTCCCCAGCCTGAGAGCCGGCGATGATTTGACGGATCTATCTGACTGCTCGGACATGCTGGTAGCTTAGTGCTTGCGCGTAGTCCATAACCCATCCGTAGTGTGGCAGGGAGTAGTTTTAGATTGCTTGCACCACACCCGTGGTGAACGTTCAGGTGGTTCTGCTTAGCTAAACCAATGCTTCAATATACGCTTTTGCGCCGCCTATTTCAAAGCCACCCATACATGTAAGAGGTCACAGAAACGCCATGCGAACGACGTGTTCCAAGAACAGTATTTGGCTAACAGACAGTTCAAGCTGCTGATGGCCCTCAGCGATCATGAAAAGTGTTTTGCCATATATAATGCAGGCATTTGGGGAGATCTAGTTATGACGGACATGAGGCTAATTGAATCACCTAAAAAAGTACGTCGACTGGGAATGAAAGTGCAAG